TTGTTTGAGCTGATGCTATTTGAAGAGTTCTACTCAGATGTTTCAATATACGTGTCTGAAAGATTTAATTATTTTCTCTTTTGCAGAAAATATATAATAATGCATGAGCCGGAAGCAGAAGCCGAGCCCTGGAGTTTTCTCAACATCGAGAATATTTTCAGTAACAACTATTATGGAGACAGCTCTCAACATGACGTGAAAATCTGCCATGAACAGTACATAACAGATACTAATTACGCATACATTGACAACGATGAGATTATTGCACGTTCTCTTCTTCAAGAAGAATTGTCTCAGTTATCGATTGCAGAAGAATCTCCTAAGCTATCACATTCGGGCGAGGAATACTTGCAAAATTCCAATATCGTCCCTAATTGGCATAATTCTTCAAATGACTATTATCTTGGTATGTTGTTCCTCGTTTAGGTTCATAGTCCATATTATAACGAGTAATGAATCCTTTGAAAATCGAAAACATTTGCAGAGCAAGAGGGTGTTCAGAATGAGAGTGATGACGAGGCTAGTTTATGCTCCAGCCCAGAGGACAGATCGTGTGACGGAGAAAATTACTATTATACCCTCGACATAACAGATGGTTCTGAACTTGATGGAGAAGTTGAAAAGAGGTTGTATCAAATGATTCCTGTTCCTGTAAGCATCGGTTTTTATTCGACAAACTCGTAAATTTTCTTGTTATGAGCTTAGCATCATATTTTTGCTTTATTAGTGTTCTTTTAGAGAGAGATAAGATTTCTGCTCATGCTAAACATAATCGTGTAGCAAATCTATCCGATTTTCTTAGTCATCTCATTATATGGCAAATTATAAGATATCTTGAATCTGATTCGATTAACTATATATACTATTTAGATGAAACTTTCGATTGACATGATATACTTTTGTTTGCTCATTTTCACAGCATATTCCAAGAATTAATGGAGACATACCCTCGATTGACGAAGCAACTTCTGACCATCAGAGGCTGCTCGATAGGTATTATTTGTGGTCCATTTTGTTGCCTGTTCAGAATTATGGTTCTGATTTTTTTTCTTGGATCTGCAAGTACTGAAGCTGAACAAAAATAAATCAAGCTGCTCAAGTTCTCAATTGCTACTCATTAAAAGGAACAGTTTATATATAAAATACTCACTTATGTCCATCCCTTTTAAACTGGCACCTTAATTTATCTTCCTGCACTTGATTATGGAGTGAAAAAGCTTTTCCTTCAAATTTTTTTTCAGGTTACAGTTATATGACTTGATAGAACACAAGGTTCAAGGAGATGGAAATTGTCAGGTTAGTTTGCCAAGTCTTTTGCCTTAGCAAGTCCATTACAATTGTGTATTATTCTTCTTCTTTTCCAAACACTGGTTTTCATAGTAAATCGCTTGCAGAAATATTTCTATAGCAAATACAGCATTGGAATACCAAACAAGGAGATGAAAAATATATTCTTGTTATAAGAAGAACAAAAAATCCATTTCAAGTCATAACTTATATAGCACATTAAATATTCTCATGTAAACACTTATTTTTCGAAAATCACTACCACTTTCTGCAGTTTCGTGCTTTATCTGACCAGTTTTATCGGACCCCCGAACACCACAAATTCGTGAGACAACAAGTTGTTCGTCAGGTGTGTTTGTAGTAGCGCAAAGCTATATCTATTTATTATTTCAACGCTATCCTATTTACTTGCAAAAATCTGACATTATTTTTTCCATTTTTTTTTTTTTTGGTTTTTTGTCAGCTGAAAGCTCATCCAGAAATATACGAGGGGTATGTTCCAATGAAATATGCCGATTATCTCAAAAGGATGTCCAAGTACAGTTCTTTATCCCATTTTTTTGTGTCTCACACATTATTATTGTTCGACTTTCTATTTTTAGCAACTTGAACTCTTGTGATCCTTACATGCTTAGTAACCAGGAGTGAGGAGTGGGGTGATCATGTCACATTGCAGGCAGCTGCCGACTCGGTATTGCTTACGTTACCTAAACCATTTTTATTATTTTCGGAAATCATAGTTGCAATTTTGGAATTAGAAATTANTTTTTTTTTTTTTTGGATAGTATGGCGCGAAGATTGTTATAGTAACCTCTTTTAAAGACACATGCTACATTGAGATTCTCCCGAAGGATCAACAGTCGAAAAGAGGTGCGCTTCATAGATTGTTATGTCAAAATTTTGCCCATTTCCTTTCGCCTCCACAACACATACTTTTATTCTACACGAATGAAATGCAAAGGGAGTGCTTGGATATAAATATATCTCAAAACGGGTTTTTTGGTTAACTATGGTTATGGTTAGTTGTTAGTGGTATTTTGAGTTTATATTAAAATAATATTTAATAATAAAATGATTAAAGTTGATTTGATGTAAACGTAGGAGAGAGATGATGTGAACTGATTAGTTAAAATTATGTGCATGGATGAATAGTGAATTAAATTTAATGTGATGTGTAAGAATGGTTGATTGATATTATTTAATTATATTGATAATATTAAAGATAGTGGGGTTGGTTTAAAGATGAGTTAGATTTTGAGTATGAATTGAGTTTATTTGTATCTAAACACGTCTTACAAAATAGTGGCAAGTAATCACATACTCAACTGCAAGTGATAAACTCGTCATTCCAATCATAATATGATTGGTGGCAAACGAAATGCATTCTCTGCCTTCAGAAATTCTATGAAGCTAACAGATGAACATAAAATTTGTGGAATCATATTCATAAATGATGTATTGACGCTTTTGTGAATACATTATTTGTGAGTAATTGTGGATGACTGCATAAACCATATCATTTCATGGCTTTCCAGCAAAATTTTCGTTCTCACTACTTTGAGATAGATACATAATCTTGTCGTCTTCCGTATCAAATCACAATAATAAGTCCATTATTCTACGCATGCTCGTGTTATGAAGGATATACAAGCCATGCCACGAAAAACTTGCATGTGTGAATGATAATCACAATTTATTGCATTCTTTGTACTTGCTAGCCGATTTCCCATGCCCGTTTTTCACTTTCGGCTTACGATATGGTTCTTATCTGCAGTCATATATTTGAGCTTTTGGGCCGAGGTGCACTACAACTCGATCTATCCCCAAGGAGGTAAAAATTGCTTCGAATCACTTCTTTTTGATCCCACATTTTACCTACAATAAAATTAATTCTCGATTCGATCAGATCTTCTCCCGAGCGATCTCAAGAGAAAGAAGAAGTGGTGGAACTTTCGAAACAAGCAATAGATGAAACCTCCAAGACCTATCGAGTAATCATATGCCCGTCTCACCCCGTCTAACTGTTCTTCGAAGTCGGAGTTTTTGAAGGGAGCTATTATTGGTCTCCACATTGACCTCTTTAAGGCTTATATTATCAATTGTATCATTATTATAATACTGGTTACAATAATATTTATTCATTTATTGTTATCTTCTAAAAATCTTGTCATTGAATAAAATAACGTTGCTTCGAGGTTGTGGGGATTATGAAAATTGCATGTTAAAAAAAAAATATTGAAATTGTGATTAGAGGATTCGGGCAGAATTTTTTTCACATAAATTCTCAAAAAGACCCCAAATCTTTCTATGTTCAACTTTTCCTACCCTAGTTACTTCTAAATTCTCAAAAAGGCCCCATCCGTTGGGCGTCGTCGCACTTCCTCCTCCACCGTTAGCGGCTGCAACAGCAACGTGGTGAACGACATGTGGCGCGGTACCCGTCTGGCAGGAATCCTAGCTCCAACGGCGACGGCGGCTGACGGCTGGCGGAGGTCCAGTCAGCAGGCCCCCGGAGATACCGCGAGCGCCGCCGAGGAGGTGGTGGAGACGGCCTCGACGGGGACGGCGTCGGACCCAGTTGCGGCGACTATTGAGGGCTCGGCCTGGCGGAGGAACCACTCTATGGTCTCGCCGTCGGAGTCGAGCCGAGCTCCCGGATCAACTCGAATACACAAACGGCGCAGAGCGCCGACATTCGGACGCGGTGACTTCGGCTGTTGACTTTTGTGTGGCGGTCCCTGGTAGAGGAGGATTCGGCGATGGCCCTTCTGGGCTTGATACCGGCCGTGGCGGGTGGCGGAGAGGAAATTCTGTGGAGAACCATCTCTTAAGGGTTAGGGTTTTTCAATTTTTTTCCCCAACTTCTTGTGAGAAAGAGGGGAACTAGTGGCCCCACTCTTAAGGAGAAAACTGAGCCTAAGGCCCACGATAGCTGAGAAAGTGGGCCACTCGAACTTTTGTCGTTATTTGACTGATATAATACTCATAATAGTTCAGTGGAGAGTGGTTAGCTCGATTTAGGTTGGTTCAGGTGAGCTCAGCTTGATTTCGATTTACACGTGGTAAGGAGATCACTCAGACAACTTGGGATGCAGGTAGAGTCAGATCAGGTAGCTCGTAGTTCAGAGAGGATCTCGGATATTCGATGAGACATCATGGTCTTTAGGTCGTGGTTGCGACCTAGGTATAGCCTGCGGTAGGAAGGTACGGAGGTCGTGGTTACGACCTTGGAACCAAAGAGTCGTGCCATGTGAGGGGAGAGAAACCTTCATGGATAGATAGAGTGCATGTCTTATCTAAAAGTCCTAAAATCTTAAAGACGTGGTAGTTATTAGGAAAGTAGACTCGCAAGATTTCTTTCTTAACAAGGATTCTCGTACAGACCAAGCTACCCTATGTATTTAAGGGTAACCAAGTTACTTTATCTTACACATTACATATGCGCATACTTTACAATTTTTCATACTCCCTCAAACAGATCCTAACTTGAGCGTCAGAGTGTTTACATCGGGACCTCTCCCTACACTTTGCAGGTCACCAGAACTTCGAGCTGGTAGGCATGCGTGGAGGTTGCGAGTACAACGGGGTTCCAGACTCATTGCGCATCAATATCACAAATAATGCAAACTTTTTTAACATTAGACTATGGCATGCAACCAATCTAAAAGTTAAAAAACTTATTATACTATGAGCGTCAACGATGTTTCCATTTAAAAGTTACGAAGAAATCGCTCCTATTTGGATGTTCGTGAGTGTTTGATTACTAAGCTTTTTGCCTTTATTGGATTGTTATTGAATGTGCATGGTTAGTTGACCTTGTTCCATGGGGTCGAAGTAGATGATTAGTCGGTTGGGCTTATTTGAGCTCCTAAGCTCGATGGTAGTTGTACCGATGCACGATGAGAATGTGACGAACTGGACGCTAAGTCGGTTGGGCTTATTCAGCTCACAGGTTGGGTGATCGTTGACTCATTGTTCCGGTGTATGATGAGAATGGGTTGAAGTGAATGATGAGTCGGTTGGGCTTATTAAGATCATGAGCCCAGTGCAAATGTCCCGGTGTGTGCCTCTCTCATAATTAAGATCACTTCTAGTGAAATGTATAGAAGTGAAAAATGCATGGTAAAATCCCTAATCATGAAAATCATAGAAGCCCATATATAACAACTAAACTCTAATAATAAGAGGAATTTGCATTCCTTACTTTAAGTTATGATATATATTGCACTTATACACCTATTATAAGTTTATTTATAAATTTACTAAATTATGCATAAAAAATTACATAAATATCTGAAATAAGAATGGTCAAGATGTAACGGTTTCTTAAGAAATTATCTAGACAAATTAAAGTAAGTATTTTAGTTAATTGAAATTAATTATTCACTTACCAAAAAAGCGGAACCAACTTAATTCTCTCAGTCACTATGCTATCTTTTCTCTCTCTGCGCAAAACCAGCACCGCCCCACGTTCACCTCTCTCAATTATAAAAAACCCTCTTCAATGGCCAAGACGAAACTACCAAATTCGGCTCGAAAAAAGCAGAAAAACGGTGCCGACGAAACACCACAAAATATAGTTTGGTATATGTGTAGTATATCATTCATAATACATTTTATGAAGAAAGGACAATCTCAATGATGTTTTTATGAACTTTATGATGGACAGACATTAGTTGAACTTATATTATGGTATATCTAACTTATATTCTGTTATATTTATGGTATATTAGTGGTACTTTCTGGTATGTTCTGGTATATTCTGATGAATATTTTAGTATTTTTTTTATTTTTTCTTTTTCCTCCTGTTTTTTATGTTTTGGCATATGTGTGGTATATTTGTTGGTATATGTGATCCTCGGAAAACAAAAATCTCCTCGGATGGTCACGAAAGCATAAGACACGCAGTAGAAAAGGTAGTGGTATATTTTCAGTAGTAGTTATGTATTTTTTTCATGAAAATGTGATATCTTCTCCAGCGGTAATCATTCATGACCCATTCACCCCCATGATGTATGAAGTTCATCATATTCGGATCCATCTGGAAATGAAATTAAANTTTTCTGTTAATGAAGATCGTGTTTTCAGAAAAACCTCGTCGCCGGCGTGTTTCCTTTTTCTTTTCCGTCTGTTTCAACTGAATTAATATCTTTTCTATCTTGAATCCTGAAATTGTGCGCTACAAATATGGAATGGTTGTTCACCTTACCCGTAACTGTTTTTAGGCATGAATATAATTACTTTTTATCTCTTAGGTATATACACAAATTTATTGGCTTGAATGGTAATGTTGCAATTACTTAAAAAACGGTAAGCATACATAAAAATTTCCCTAATAATAACCGGGTAGCCCAAAGTCGAAACAATTGGGTTTATGGACTAAGGAGTCTCATGCTGAAAACTAGATGTGACCCGCGATGGGCCCATTAGCTTCTGATTTATCAAGATTATTTATATGACCCATTATTAATCTTGAGGTGAATGGGCTTTATGGGAACATGCAAGTAAATGAGTTGGTTGTGCACAATTTTTGTGTTCGCCAAATATATATATAGCAGGTTCAGTTGTTCGTTTGAAAATTATAAAAACTAATAAAGAAATAAATGACCGATCATGAACTTAGCTTATTATAATGAATGTTTTTTATTATAACAAATTTGCATTATTACATTAATTTTATGTTTTTGTATAAAGAAAAAGAAAAATTGTAAAGACCTCATAAATCATAGTATGAATTATGAAAACCAGACAGTTCATCGTATATACACACATTATGTTAAAATTTCAAAAGTCAAACAAAGCTTCTGTTTATTTTAAGATGAAGAGACATATGACCAACAATTTTAACTGGCTATTTATTTTTATTTTTTATCTTAAGTTTTCATACATCTAAATTGATTTGACTTTTATCAGTTTTGAATTGCGAAAGGAGACTTGATAAGATTGTCAAAATATTCCAGAATAACTTTATTTTTTTTTTCCCAACAAATGATTGTATGAAAAATGTGATATATTTTTTTTTATATTATCTTTTAAAGTATACCATTTTTTAATTTGGAAAAATGTATGTATTAAAATATTCAAAAAAGTACGATTGATTAATCGTTCAATTATAAGAATTAGCACATTAGGTTAGCAAATAAAGAATTTATTTTCCTTTCATTTCTGAACACATTTTTTATATGTACTTTAAGGTCACAAAAATTTAATAAAATCCCAAAACATCAATTTATTCCAAGTTGCTATCACAGACATCCTTTTTCTTGATAAACCTCTCTACAATTTCATTGGATTTCAAGTCCTGAAAGAGGGAACAGGTAACTGCAATTTTTCAAAAATTCTGGTGACAAAAGTCCAATTAGAATTTAATACAAACCATAAAAAATTTATCGTTGTATGTCTATTTTTTATTTCACATTCACATCAGTTTGTCCAATTTGACTTAGCAAGTACTCATAATAATAAATAAGTAATGTCATGTATGCCTGCAAACAAGCCTAACATTGCCCTTAAGGAATTAAATTCGATTTTATTTTACTACTGCTCGATTCCGAGTTTGTCAAGTGAAATAATTTTTTACTCTTCGAATCGACAAAAATAAATAAATAAATAAATAACACAAACATTAGAAATCAACTCAAATTTCCTCTAATTTAACTAGAAATTTCAACAAAAAATATTCGGTCAGAGTATTTGGATAATTTTTTTAGGCATATTCAAGCAACTCGTCGATCACTCTTACAAACTATAGATTCGAACTCGACTCAAGCTGGAATTTAAAGAGCTCGAGTTCGTGGTGCGAGCCATTTTCATAATTTTATTTATTATTTCCTTTTTTTATTCAATTTTCCAATATGAGTGTCTGGCCCAGATTGGACTAAACAAGTCCGTACAATCAAAGTAGGGTTGCGTGCGATGCTTATTTGACAAAAAAGAAAAAAGTTGGTAGATCATTATATTTAATCTAAATAAAATTCATGAAGCTTTAAATGAAAACTAATTAGTGGAGAATTTAAAATAAAAATTTAAAAAACTCAAGAAAAAATAAATTGAAAGGACAAAAAGAGCATATGGCCCAGCCTCTCATGGACGATTTGAAAAAAATGTGACCACAAACATTTTTACGCATGGATGTATAAAGTACCAACCTCTCCACTAAGCCAAAAGAAAAAAAGAAAAAAAAAGGGAATTAAATAAAATAATTTCATTAATTAGATACATTATTATAATATAACAAACATATGGGTGCCC